GTTTGTCTTAAACAGAAAGAAAGATTTAAATTTATTTAAACTTTACTGAACAAAAAATCAAAACAGTATTTTCAGTAAAATACCGTAGTAGGTATTATTTTATTTGACTGCGTATGTTTTGGCCAAATATATGAATATATAAATTATCCACGCCTTCGACTTGTTTATATACTGTATTGTAGTAGGGCACACAGGATTTTTCTCGGAAGGGGTCGTGTTAGTAATAATTTTCCAGMACTTACATACCCGATCATTTATGATTTTTAAGTGATTAACCAGTTCATGCTCATCGATACTCAATATATTCAAGTCATTTTTTTTGAATTATAATAAATATAATTACAAATACAATTAATTCTCAAGTATTAGTATAAGTCTTATACTATATTATACCGTATACTATAAGGTATAATAATAGTTTAATAATAGAAAGTGAGTAAGGAGATAACCCTTCTGCTATACAGTACAGGTGTCGAGTATACCTAGTGATTGTAATGGATGTGTTTAATTTGAATTTGATAATAAATCATACCTACATCATTTTATAAATACAAAAAAGATTAAGAGCGGACACAGTCATCAGTTAGCCAATGTTACTAATAAATAGACAGCCATAAGTGTATTTTTTTATAAATTAAAATAGATCACGGACGTAACTTAATATACATTGCAGCCATAGTAATCCATTTGACAATTAGTAATACGTTAAGTTGAATTAATWGTTATCAAAATTATTGTGTCTATTACAACTATAATTTAGGTATGSATTTTTAAGCCAATACCGACTTATTGTAGGACGACGTAAATAAGTTCATGGTATAAATAAGTAATATCTCATAGTTGTATACTAATAGCTAATAAAAAAAAAAAAAAGTAATATAGCTTAAAATAAATCTAAATATTTTTTTAAATGCTATTGCGTATTTTAAAATAGAATAAAAGACCACGAGTCCGCGAATTACAATTAAATGATAACAAAATAATTCAAATCGTAGTTGTTTTCTTCAAGTATCCAATTTKATCAACATTTGAGTTTAAATGTTAATAAAAAACAAATTAMGTTTATATACTTTGAAGCTTTTTTGTTTTTAGTAAGAACAATGACAAAGTTCAACCTTTAGCTAAACAGATTAAAAATGTTTAACTTATATATAGAGGAGACTGGAGAGGTGCATTTTGTAGAAAGGGAGGGTGGCCACTCTTATACCATTTGAGAGCGCCACTGTTGCATAGTACTTACTACTTATAACGACTAGTATCCATGATAAGGATGTATTAAACTCTAAATTTGAACTGAACTTYAAGTATTATTTGTACTTTAAAACATTTTTAAACTTTGAACATTTAATTTAAATATATTAAAAGTACTATTTATATATTTCAATAGGGATCAACTGGATCAAGTATTATTTGAACTTTAAAACATTTTTAAACTTTAAACATTTAATTAAAACATAYTTAAAAGTACTATTTAGGTATGTATTTTAATAGGGATTAAATAATAATGCATATAAATAYGACTCTATATATATGTTCGTAGAAAATAACATTTTTACCAAAATATTAATTTCAAATCTCTTAACAATATAACACTATATTTAACAGATAAATCAATTTGACATTCATAAAGATACATCGTCAAYAATTAACTACATGTATTTTGATAATTTTACAATAAATAATATCACAAAAATCTTCCAATCCAAAATCATAAATATTACTCCCGTCATTAGGTACATATTACATATACTACTTAGTATGATTAGTGTTTATCATAGGTTGGCCTTGKCCTCCACTTCATTTAATTTTTCTATTATTACTTATTTGTTAATATCACTCATATCACTTTATGTATCACTTTTACTAGTTTTACTAGGTTAATATTTTTGTTTATTTGTGTTTATACTTTTAAAGTTTTATCAGATATACTTGTTAAAAGGCTTTAATATGGTTTATAGTAAATATTTAGTTAAAAAAAATAGATGTGACTGATTTAAAATTTAACCCAGGTACATTTTTAACATATTGATTTAACCTGACGAGTTGAAAACATCAGTTGACTTACCTCGTGTAGTGTAACTTATTTAACATGATTTTGCTTGAACTATTCGGGCGTTTGACTTAAAAACTAAACTTAAATTTGAACGGTTTTTTTAAAATCTTAATTTCTTAGAACGAGAAGAGCTCGAGAACCCGTTCCTCTTATCMATTTATGGTTGGATAATAATGTGCTCGCAGTAGGTACATGTTTTATAGGTATTCATTATACTCAGCGTTAAAATAAATAATATAAATTCATCGCGTTTACCGATGCACGTGACGAGAGTCGTGTCCCGGTCGTGTCGTCCGTCCGCTGATGACGCCGTTAGCGTCCAATTGCCGACGCCGGGCGCCACACTCACGGCCCTGAGACCGCATTGACCTGACTGATAACCGTCGCCCACGTACGTGATATTAGCGGCGGTGGTGAAGGTGGTGGCCGCGTCAGACAGGGTCGTCTCCGTGCCGTTGGGCAGCACTACGGAACAACGGTCCAACAAGCCCAGCCCGCTCTGCCATCTTAAGTACAGCGTATCGCCGTCGGTCAGCCACACGGGACGGCCGCACAGGACTGCAACATCAATGAAATGAACGAYATTTAGGCGAGCATATGACATGTATAGACCTATATTACAATATATATATTGATAGATAAATAGATAGAGAGAGAGTGAGAGAGAGAGAGAAGGCGTAGGGTAAAATGTTGTCCGATAATATTTATTATTCAATAAATGTCATTGTAATGATTGTTGATTGTTTGTTTGACACGACAACTCGAGTTTTTGATCTTTGTTTT